AAATGTCAATGTATGTTTTCTCCAAACTGCACCAGTGTTCACATTTGGGCATATTGAATATCCGTGCCAAGTTTGGTTCAGATCCATCATTGTTTGAGTCCACAGTGCTCTCTGGATGTAGGTGACCTAACTACAACTCCCAAACTCAAGGTCAGTGCCCACCAAACCCTTCAAGTATTTTCTGTTGGTCATGGGAATTCTGTGTGCCAAGATTGGTTCAATTCCATCATTGGCGAAGTACAGAATGCTCTTTTTGATTGTAGGTGAACTATAAATCCCAGCAACTATAACTCCCAAATGACAAATCAATCCCCCCCAACCCCACCAGTATTCAAATTTGGGCATAGCTGGTATTTGTGCCAATTTTGGTCCTGTGACTGAAAATACATCCTGCATATCAGATATTTACATTATGATTCATAACTAGCAAAATTACAGTTATGAAGTAGCAGCAAAAATATTTTTTTGTTTGGGGGTCACCACAACATGAGGGACTGTATTAAGGGGTCATGATATCAGGAAGGTTGAGAACCACTGTCTTAAGCCCTTTATTAAACCAGGTCTCCTCTACAAGCAGAAAGGAAAGAATCCCAGAAAAAGTGGTATCTTAACTCCGATGTTTTTAATCCAGGTCTTAAGGAAGGATATAAGGACAAATATTGGGGCTGGATCAAAAATGAATCTTTTGGCTTCCCAGATTGAAAACGCCTCCCGAATTTGGGAGGCTCCTGAAAAACAGATCAGGACACCCATCGAAATCTGTGACACCGAAATGGATCACAGTTTACCCTAATTTAGTATATAATCAAGTTTCAGTGGATATGTGATTAGTACCAGCATTATTCAATTGAATTTTTATTATAGCAAACCACAAATCGGATGAGTGGATGGAAGACTCAACAGGAATTTTGAGCTTCTGGTCTATGATTGTGCTCAAAGTGACTTCTCTATTCAGAATAACATTCCTTCCTCCCATTCATTCTTCCAGGGCCAACATCTGTTAAGATCAAGTGCCCTTGTAGTTGATTGTTTTCTGGAACATAATCGTTCCTTTGTGGATCTGTGCTTTTGAGTGTTTAAGAAACTTTCCTCACAGAATGAAAGGACCCTGCTTTAAAAGGAAATGTAGGCAGAGATTTGCCACGTGAACCCATCCCCCCATGATCTAAATGTAGACTTGGAATGCATCCATCTTCTTTAAAATTTGACTTTTCACATATGAAGTAACTTTTTATGTGGCTGCATAATTGTTATGTCAAGGATGTCCTTGGTACAATTGAGAAAAACAGAACAATATGATGCCTTGCCTCCTACTTATCCAACTATCACTTGCTAGGCAAAAGCTCGGAAAAGGCTCTTTTTTAGAATTTCTGCAGATGATTTTAAAGGTACATTTTGAGTTATATTTTGTTTCTATATAAACGTATTGGGTTATTGTATATGGTTGTGTATAAGTCGACCTCATGCTTAAGATGAGGGAAAGTTCCCTACCGAGTCCTTTAAAATGGGTAGAAACTGCATTTTGGTGGAGAGGATAAAGAGGGCCACTGCTTCTTGTAGGTTCTCCTGGTGTGCTGTCGTGCGCTGGGCCTATGACAATGTCTGTTTACAGGATGTGCTTTCTGTATGCCCAACGGGAAGCCGGGGTGCCTCAGCTAAAAGGTCTCATAGGTTTCCCAACACAAAGTTCTGTAGAGGCTCAAAATAGGTTCAACAAAGTTCTTTATTAAGGCCTAAATCTTCGAACAAATGAATTAAATGCTTTATAATCTTGAAAAACTAGTAGCTTTCTCAATCTGCCAACAAGGGAAAGGCAACTGCTTGATAAACTGTTCCTATCTTCTTTAGGGAAACCTTCCGACCCCTCCCTGGGCAATCTTTCTTTACCCTACTGGCATGAGACCCCAACTCCCGGCTCCAAGCTGCGTTATGGATAGCCCAAGGGGTCCCTTACCAGGCAATGGTTGCTGTAGATCTGCCAAGCTGGTGTCCTTTAGTTCAGTGGTTCTCAACCTGGGGTCCCCAGATGTTTCTGGCCTACAACTCCCAGAAATCCCAGCCAGTTTACCAGCTGTTAGGATTTCTGAGAGTTGAAGGCCAAAAACATCTGGGGACCCCAGGTTGAGAACCACTGCTTTAGTTTCTCCACAAAGGCTGTAGGAACTATTTCTTTTGCCCCAGCAAAGGCTGGCTGTATTCCTCCAGCAAAGCTGTAGAGGTTTTCCTTCCCCCCCAGCAAAAGCTGTAGGAAGTGAAGCTTTTTTGCAGGTGGGGCAGAGAAAAGCCCACACGTCCTGCTGTAAGGCTCCAAACTGTGAGACAGAACTGAAAGTCCCCCTTTCCCCTCCAAAATCTGGGGAAAGGGGCGGATCTAAAGGCCGTAATGATGACTGATAGGCTGATAGCCCTATGATTGCAACCTGGGGAAAGCTACCCAATTGCAAAATGCATGGCCCAGATGAAATTCAAACAAACTAACAGTGCAAGAAAAAAGAATAAAATCTCCTGGCACAGCTGTGCCAGCACACCTGGCATGGACTACGTTTTTATCTTTCACCACTCTACTCTGAGTAGGGCTTGTAGATAAGTTGATCCAGGTTTTTTGGGTTGTTTTTTTAATCTAAATTTCTGTGAGTTTTAAAGGTTATTTTAAGTGTACTTATTATATTTAATCTGTTTCTACCACACAGTACTATTTATTTTTTTACTTTTGTATTGCGCTTTTTGAAGGTTTATTTTTAAACTTGATTAAAGTGTGGGATTGTTAACTGCCTTGAGAAAGACTGGGTATAAATAAAGTTAATGATTATAATTATAATAAGCTCTTCCAGTTTCTGAATTGCAACTCCTATCAGCCATAGCTAATGATAAGCTAGGTTTGCTAAGGGCTACAAATCAGCAACACACTGAGGGCCATATAATCATCATTTCAGTTCTAGCACTAAAGCTTTAGGTGCTCTTAGAGGGAAAACCAGCTGATTCCAAATCCATCTAAAACACAGACATGTGCTTTTCACTTTAAGAACAGACAAACATCGCAAGCTCAGAGGATTACCTGGGAAAGAATCCCACTGGAGCATTGCCGCACACTCAAACACCTGGGAGTCACTCTAAACTGTGCTCTGGCCTACAAGAAGCACTGCTTGAATAGCAAGCAAAAAGTAGGTGCTAGAAACAATATCATACGAAAGCTGACTGGCCCAATCTGGTTCTCACAACCAGATACAGTGAAGACATCTGCCCTTGCACTTTGCTACTCTGCTGCTGAGTACACATGCCCAGTGTGGAACAGATCTCACCATGCTAAAACAGTGGATGCGGCTCTTAATGAGTCATGCTGCATTATCACAGAATGTGGATGTGACTCTTAATGAGACATGCCGCATCATCACGGGGTGCCTGCACCCTACACCACTGGAGAAACTACACTGTCTAGCCGGTATTGCACCACCTGACATCTGCCGGGAAGAAGCAGCCAATAGTGAAAGGACCAACGCAGTGACATCTCCAGCTCATCCCCTGTTTTGGTATCAGCCAGCACGTCAACAACTTAAATAAAAAATAGCTTTCTTAGATCTACAGAGACACTCACTGGAACACCTCAGCAAGCGAGAGTCCAAAAGTGGCAGGCTCAAACCCAGAACCTCAACCAATGGCTGATACCAAATGAGAGACTCCCTCCTGGGCACACAGAAGACTGGGCAACTTGGAAGGCGCTGAACAGACTGCGCTCTGGCACCACTAGAGCCAATCTTAAGAAATGGGGCTACAAAGTGGAATCCACGACATGCGAGTGTGGAGAGGAGCAAACTACAGACCACCTGCTGCAATGCACCCTGAGCCCTGCCACATGCACAATGGAGGACCTCCTTGTGGCAACACCAGAGGCACTCCAAGTGGCCAGATACTGGTCAAAGGACATTTAACCAACTACCAAGCTTGCAAACTTTGCATTTTGCCTGTTTGTTTTGTTAAAAATGTAATTTTTTTACAAATGTCTGGTTGCTCCTGACACGATAAATAAATAAATAACAGAAGGTTTATGCCCTACACCACTGGAGAAATTGCACCACCTGACATCCACCGGGAAGTAGCAGCCAATAATGAAAGGACCAAGGCAGTGATATCTCTGGTCCATCCCCTATTTGGGTATCAGCTAGCATGCCAGAGATATTTGCAGGAATACCTCAGCAAGTGAGAGTCCAAAAGTGGCAGGCTAAAACCCAGAACCTCAACCCATGGCTGATACCAGATGAGAGACACCCCCCCCCCCACCCCCAGGCACACAGAAGATTGGGCAACTTGTTAGGCACTGAACAGACTGTGCTCTGCCACCACGAGATGCAGAGCAAACCTTAAGAAATGGGACCACAAAGTAGAGTCCACAACATGCGGGTGTGGAGAAGAGCAAACCACAGACCAGCTATTACAATACAGTATGAGCCCTGCCACATGCACAATGAAGGACCTTTTTATAGCAACACCAGAGGCACTCCAAGTGGCCAGCTTCTGGTCAAAGGACATTTAGTATAATACCAAGTTTTTAAACTCTTTTTTTTTTAAACCATTAACAACTGCACTCCGGTTTGGTTCTGATATGATCACACTTACTCCTGACTTCTGAACTTTTCTGAAATGAAACAGCTTATACATTCAGCTTCCACTTCTCAATTCAAGTTGAAGACACAGCTGGAGCATTCATATCTTGTTGAAGTGCATTGTTCATCTGCACAGTTTCCACTCCATGTGCATTGACCTGACCCTATGAGCATGATCAATGACAAGACCTGCAACAATAGCTATGTGAGAAAAGCAAAAAGCAGGAACAGAAAGTAAAATAAGTACTTGAGGGAGGCTTTGGATGTTTTCATCCTCTTCCTCCAGATAGGTTTTATGAGTAGGAGCAAAACACCGAGGAATATGAAATGAGAATAGGGGAAGTCACTTCATGAATGTCTATTTCTGAAACACAATTGACAACTTATTGATCGGATATTTTTTATTTGTTTCCTTTCAGAACAAGGACTACTTCAGCTACCAAAGATGTGAGAATTCAACTGCTTTTCTTCAATGTCAGTCTGTCAAACAAGTACTCTCCCAAGCCATTCTGGGGCAGGCCCAAACGTTTCAGGTTGGTAAGGTGGTCTCCCAGCTGCTTGATGGCCTTTACTTGCTCCTCCAGGAATTCAGACTCCAGGAAATCACACAGCTAAGTGATCAAGAGACAAAACATTGCAAAAGGTGTTGAGAATACCAACTTCCAGGGTTAAGATTAAGTCTTCACACATATATGCTGGAAACAAGTATATAAAGGATCAGGCCATACACAATGGTATTTATCTACTTTAGAGGTGGAAGGACATCCTTAACAGTGCCTGTGAGATATAGTTTAAAGTCACAGGAATCTGCAACTTCTTGGTTTGAAAGGCTATGGAAGAAAACACTTTTAAAATGTGGTAACCTGGTAACTTTAATGCAAATTCGCCTAGCCCAGTGATGGGCAACCTTTCGAGTTTGGCGTGTTAAAATTTGCCAAAAACCGGAGCATAACTTGGGTGGAGTGTCACTTTGAGAAAAAAAATCCCATAATTTTGCAATATTTATAGTTTAAATATGAAAAATATATATTCCATGCTGAGTTATGGAGTGAACAATGCTCAAATGTGCAGATGTTAAATTTGTAGAGCCTTTTAGAAATTTAAGGATGGAATTAGATTGGCTCTTATAAGGTGTGTTTCTCTGTATGTAGCCGTATGTGTCTGTGTGTCATCAAAAATAGCCATGCTGACACACGTGTCATAGGTTCACCACACGGGTCTAGCCAGTAGAACAATATTTCAATTCATATTGCTCTTCATCTAGTCTTAGTGGTTCTTAACCTTTGTTTCTCCAGGTGTTTGGCACTTCAACTCCCAGAAATTCAAATCAACTGTTAGGACTTCTGAGAGCTGAAGTCCACAAACACCTGGAGGACTAAAGATTGGGAACCACAGAGTTATCTAATGAGAGTTTGTCTATATTCTGCAATTTTGCTGTTTCTGTTTGCAAACTCACATGAGGGTCTCCCTTCTCAGTTGCCAGCTTGTGCAGATCCAGTAGGGCCTGGTTGACCTCCTTCTCCAGTGCCAGGGCACTCTGGAGGGCATCTAGTGCATTGCCCCAACCATCCTTTTCTGGCTTCTGTGTCGAAGTATGAACAACAAGTAGATATTATAAGTAACACAGCAGAAGCTTTGAATCTCAATATTTTCTTATTTGAATGAAATTCTACCAGAGACCTTCCACATCATTTACCTTGATGTCCTTGAGCAGAACATGACCTCCTCTCTTGTTCTGATATTTCATGAATTTCTCAGCATGCTCTGTCTCTTCCTGGGATTGGTCCTTAAGGAACTTAGCTACATGGCACAAGGCTACATCATCACGGTCAAAGTGGTAGGACTAGAAAGGGAGACAGCATAAAATATGAAAAGTTGTAAGCAACAGAACTCAGGTCACCATGGATCCATCCTACATTACCTTTGGTTGTGTAGTTTGCTGAAGTTCTTGCAATTCTACCATCTATATTGGAGCTCTCTAAGAGAGAATTCTATGTACCTCACCAGCCTACACATCCAAAGAGTCTGTAAAAATGAGCCATATTAAATGGATATCAAATTGCTTTAGCTGTGCAGATATATTTATGGTTGTTAGCAATTTACTCTGCAGTCCAAATGGTAGGTCGCATTCTAGTTGTGTCTCAACACAATTAGGTAGGGCTTGGATTTATTGTAGCATTGCAAACATTGCAAATGAGGCACAGCATGGTAAGCTTTATTTACTCAAAGACTTCTGTAGATTGTGTTCTCCTGCCTTAGCTTAGTGGTGATTAACTCAGTTTTAGGATAACAGTTTTGGTTATTTTATATTAGTTATGTAGTCACGATGCAAAAATAGTACAGGCAGGTACACCTAGCTATTTTAGTGCCAAAAGGTTAAAATGAACTTTATTGATTTATTCAGTCATAATAGTTATGGTAGAAGCATGGATTATTCTGCAGCCACTCAAAGATGGATCCCACTTCTTTCCCCACACAATACAAAGAGGAATACTAGATTTTGAAAGTCTTCCAATCTTCGACAAAGCATGGAATAATTATCTGAATAGAATATCTACTTTTGCATAATATAGATAAAAAGTAAAAAGGCTTTGGTTCTACCACTAACTTCAAAGAGGTAAGCAACATGTGTGTTTCTATCCACATCCTATTTGTCACTTCTTTTTGGATTCTGTGCTTATTCTCCAACTGTCCCAATTTGGCAAAGCAGTCTCAATTAATTCTCTGCCGTTCCACATAAACTGCTTTTAAAATGTTCCAGTTACTCTCCCTTCCTAATACTTTCCACCATTTGTCCTCAGCTCACTTCAACTGCTGCAAACTAAATTGAAAGAGCAGTAGTATTTTGCACTTAACTAAGCAAAAAGGATAGAAGCCTGAACGTTTCCAGATAAAAGTAAATTGTGTTCTTGCTTATTAAAAACCTTTGCTATCTTGACCATATTCTCAGGTTGCTTGGCCACATATGACCCTGATTTTCTCTGAAATGCTGGGTTTTATGCTTGTTTTGTGTGTACTGCTAATGTTCTCAACCTGCGAGTCCCCAGATGTTTTGACCTTCAACTCCCAGAAATCCTAACAGCTGGTAAACTGGCTGGGATTTCTGGGTGTTGTAGGCCAAAACACCTGGGGACCCACAGGTTGAGGACCACTGACCTAGATAGTTACTTGCTAGTGTAAACCCCTCAGTGTGGGAGGTTTACTAAAATCTCCAGAAATTATTTGGTTGCCATAGGTTTAAAGTGGCACTTCTCAACTTGGGGGGTAGCAAGGGGGATTTCAGCAGGGTTGCCAAAGACCTTCAGAAAACACATATTTCTGATGGTCTTAGGACTTCCTTTGGCAGCAACTACAATTCCCAAATGACAAAATCATTTCCCCCAACCCCACCACATTTCAATATATCAGGTATTTGTGTCAAATTTGGTCCAGATCCATAGTTGTTTGGGTTCACAGTGTTCTCTGGAGCTAGGTGAACTACATCTCCCCTAAATCACTGTCAATTCTTCCCAAATCTGTACAGTATTTTCTGTTGGTTATGGGGGTTCTGTGTGCCAAGTTTGGTTCAATTCCATCATCGGTGGCATTCAGAATGCTCTTCGATTGTAGGTGAACTATACATCCCAGCAACTACAACTTCCAAATGACTAAATCAATTCCCCCCACCCCCAAACCCCACCAGTATTCAAATTTGGGTGTGTTGAGTATTTGTGCCAAATTTGGTTCAGTGAATGAAAATACATCCTACATATCAGATATTTCCATTATGATTAATAACAGATGCAAAATTACAGCCATGTATTGGCAACAAAAATAATTTTATGGTTGGGGGTCACCACAACGTGAGGAACTGTATTAAGTAGTTGCAGCATTAGGAAGGTTGAAAAACACTGGTTTAAAGCACCAACCAGAGAGGAGAAGCCTAGAATTATTTCTAAAAATCTAAACACACTCCCATGAACTACAGTAAAGCATAGCAAAAAGTGAAAATAAAGTACGATTCCCAGAGTTTCCCAACTAGCATAGCCATGCAGACTTCAGGGTTCTAGGAATTTTATTATTAAAGTAAGGTAACAACTTTTCCAAACACTGAACCCCAAATAGAAGAATATGCCCATTTACAGTTGGCCCTCCAGATCCATTGATTTTATATCCCGTAGATTCCCCCATCCATGGCTTGAAAATAAAATAAAGTTTCCCACAAACAAATCTTGAGTTTGCCATCTTCTATATAAATAAAAATGTAATGTTCGTTTGTGGGATTAACAGAACTCAAAAACCACTGGACGAATTGACACCAAATGTGTATACAAGGCACCTAAGAACTCAATGTATGTCCTTCACTCAAAAAATTGATTTTGTCATTTGGGAGTTGTAGTTGCTGGGATTTATAGTTCACCTACAATCAAAGAGCATTCTGAACCCCACCAATGATGGAATTGAACCAAACTTGGCACACAGTTCTCCCATGACCAACAGAAAATAATGGAAGGGTTTGGTGGGCAGTGTCCTTTGGTTTTGGAGTTGTAGTTTACCTGCTTCCAGAGAGCACTCAAACAATGATGGATCTTGACCAAACTCTACAAAAATACTCAATATGCCCAAATGTGAACACTGGTGGAGTTTGGGGAAAATAGAATATTGACATTTGGGAGTTCTGGTTGCTGGGATTTATAGTTCACCTACAATCAAAGAGCATTTTGAACCCCACCACTGATAGAATTGGGTCAAACCTCCCACACAGAACCCCCATAACTACCACAGTGGGCCACAACAAGGCGTGGCAGGGGACAGCTAGTTTTACATAAGGGACATCATTTTACTATGCCATTGTATCTAGTACGTATAAAGAGTCCAGGAGGAACCAAATCATGGTGGATACCAAGAGCCTAATATACTTAGGAATTTGCTCTCTCTCTCTCTGCATTAATTAATGTTGACTGGATACCCACAAGTTTGGGGTAAAATAGCTTATATACAAAATGATCACGGTGACAAGTTGTTTCCTAATGGGAAAAAGACTTACCATAGACAAGTACACATAGCTAGCATAGAGTTCCAAGTTAATGAGTCTGTTCACAGCAGCTTCACACTCTGCCTGGTAGTTCTGGCGTATTTGAGAAGTCATTGCTTTGTCCTAGGGGAAAAAAACAGAGCAAAATAACAAGCACCAAATCAAACACTGCTAAAGAAAGTTGTGGCCTAGGCACTATTTGCAGTGTATTTATACATAATTCAGAAACTGATCAATCTGTAATTGACAGTAGAACTATCCAATAGAAAGTCTTTTACTTATTAACCCAATTATCAGGCTTATGGATGGAAGAAAAAAAAAATCCTATTACAAATTAGAGAGAAAAGTGTCCCAGGTGGTAATAATTTGAGTTAATATGTGAGAAGTAGCTTTTCTCACTGATAGGAATTCCTTTATTTGTAATCAGTTGTAAGGAGGAAAACCTAGAATTGCTTTGCTGAGAGAAAAGCAAACAGCTGAGAAGAATAAGGTGGAACTATGAAATCCTGCCAGTGTGCTTTGATTGCATGTCCCAGTAACCCCAGCGATCACAGTTGATGGGTAAGGAGTACTGGGACATGCAGTCCAACATCTGGAGGTCAAATGATTCCCACAAGTGGAATAAACACACTGCATTTTTGAAACTTACTGTTTTGATTATTTTTTCTACTCATCTTTCAGTGAGAAATTTTAACAGTATTTCATACTACAACAGTTTTTCTCAACCTTCCTAATGCTGCGACTCCTTAATACAGTCCCTCATGTTGTGGTGACCCCAACCATAAAATTATTTTCGATGCTACTTCATAAATGTAATTTTCCTCCTGTTATGAATCGTAATGTAAATATCTGATATGCAGGATGTATTTTCATTCACTGGACCACATTTGGCACAAATACCCAGTATGCCCAAATTTGAATCCTAGGGTTGGAGGGGATTGATTTTGTCATTTGGGAGTTGTAGTTGCTGGGATTTATAGTTCACCTACAATAAAAAAAAGCATTCTGAACTCCACCAACGATGGAATTGAACCAAACTTGGCACACAGAACTCCCATAACCAACAGAAAATACTGGAAGGGTTTGGTGGGCATTGGCTTTGTGTTTTGGAGGTGTAGTTCACCTACACCCAGAAAGCACTGTGGACTCAGACAATGATACATCTGAACCAAACTTGGCACAAATACTCAATATGCCCAAATGTGAACACTGGTGGAGTTTGGGGAAAACAGACTTGACATTTGGGAGTTGTAGTTGCTGGGATTTATAGTTCACCCACAGTCAAAGAGAATTCTGAACCCCGCTAATGATTGCATTGGGCCAAACTTCTCACCCAGAAATCCCATGCCTTGAAGGGACTCTCTGGCACAAGCCTCCCTCCAGCCTCGCATGCTCTCCCTCACCTGCACATGCGCACAATTTTGCCATGAGCTGAGCATGCTTTCTCTTCTCTCCCTGCTTGGAGTATCAGCCCTTCCCTTGGCTGAGAGGGCATGCAATCACAGCTTTTGGTGGAGGGATTTGTCATCTGTTTCCAAAAAGGAAGAGAAGGACAGATGGAAAGATCTTCAGCCTTCTGTGCCAAAGGGGTTCCTAAGACCATCAGAAATATGTTTTCTGATGGTCTTTAGCGACTCCTCTGAAAACCCCTCATGACCCCCTGCCAGGGATCCTGACCCCCAGGTTGAGTAACACTGAGTACAAGGTTTACCTCATAGTGTACTACAAGGTTTACCAGGGGTTTAAGAGAAGGCATACGTTTTGGGGAATAAAGCTTTTTGAGAAGAATGTGTTTTTAAGAGCAATTCCCTCCACACCTACTCCTAAGTAAACCCCACTGTTTTCAATGGGACTTGCTCTGAGGTGTTTGTGTGTCAGGTTACGATGTTACATAGTAATACCTTCTATGAAAATTAATCCTCCTGAATTATATGGGGCTTCATCCTTAATCACCTTGGATAAATCTGCACCATTCTGATTGGTCACAAAGAGGATTCAGTTGAGTCAGAATTCTGAGGCATGTAAGAGTGCATAGCATTTGTTGTCGTTCTATCCCGGGCATGAGCAAACTTCAGCCCTTCAGGTGTTTTGGATTCCAACTCCCACAATTCCTAACAGCCTCAGGCTCCTTCCTTTCCCCCCTCAGCCACTTAAGGAAAGGGCATGAGGCTATTAGGAATTGTGGGAGTTGGAGTCCAAACCACCTGGAGAGCTGAAGTTTGCCCATGCCTGTTCTATCCCATTGAATTGATTATATCCCATCATCTTCAGCTACTATGGGATGACTTGGGTTCGCAACTCTTGCTTAGCCTTGGACATATCAATCGTTCCCAATTTTGGGGTTTTTTTTCCAAAGGGTAGCCTGCTAAAATTGTTCAGTTCCCTCTTTTGACCTTATGGGAAATTGGTGAGGTATAAAATATCTTGGCCCATTTCCTTATGCACATATAGATTCCCATATGCATGTGGCTGTACTTTTGTGACCTGTACTTAATGCGTATATTAAAATCACAGGTGCAAAAGTAGTGTTCCATCAGTGTTACTGTTGTAAACACATGTAGTCACTCACTCTTGGTTTACTCAAAAGAGCCTTCAGTGTACCCTATGAATAACAAGGGCTGCAGAAACATGAAACAGATGCAGAAATAGATAATTGCTTGCACCAATCGTCATGATTCAATATTTGAAAGGATGTAATATTGAAGAGGGAGAATCAGTTTTGCTGAAAGAAAAGCAACAGCTGAGAAGAATAAGGTGGGAACCATGTAGCCCTGATAATGCTATTGGATTGCTTGTCTCAGCAGCCTCAGCTATCACAGTCAATGGTAAGGAGTGCTAGCAGATGACGTCCAATATTTGGAGGGCACACAATTCCCACAAGTGGAATAAACACTTTATTTTTGAAACTTTCTGTTGTGGTGATTTTTCTACTTTTCTGTCGTTCAGTGAGGAATTTTTAGCAGTATTTTATAATACAAGGTATTGGTTTAATCACAGTCCTAGGGGCTTAAGGAAAGCATGTGTTTTGGGGAATAAAACTATTGAAAATAATATGTCTTTAGGAGCAATACTGTCCACACCTTCTCCCATGTAAACCTCAATGTTTTTTTCTCCCAAAAGAACTTGCTCCAGGTTTTTCTGGGCAGTGTTGCAGCTTTAAGAGAGAATTCCTTCTATGGGAATAAGCCCTTCTGAATTAAATGGGGCTTCATCATGCATCAACATGTGTAGGATAGCACTGTTAATTCTAAGCAGCCATAAAGAGGATTCATTTGAATCAGAATTCTGAGATATATAACAGTGTATTGTATTTGCTGTTCTTCTGCTTCCCTGGAGACTAGGATGCAATGGAACAATGGCTTCAAACTACAAGAGAGGAGATTCCATCTGAACATGAGGAAGAACTTCCTGACTGTGAGAGCCGTTCAGCAGTGGAACTCTCTGCCCCGGAGTGTGGTGGAGGCTCCTTCTTTGGAAGCTTTTAAACAGAGGCCGGATGGCCATCTGTCAGGGGTGATTTGAATGCAATATTCCTGCTTCTTGGCAGGGGGTTGGACTGGATGGCCCATGAGGTCTCTTCCAACTCTTTGATTCTATGATTCTATGATTCTTCTTAGGTGACCCCTCGTAGCCTGAGGATGATGGTCCTCCAAGTTATGTGTCTTGGTAGTGGGTTCGTAGGTGGCTGTGGAGCCCTATTCTTGATCCGCATGTTCTCCCACATCGATTTCAGGTGGAAAGCAGTCCTGGTCAGGGCTAGCTTGATGCATCTTTCTCTTGGCATGTTTCTCCCTTTCACCCTCCATTCGTGCCTCTTCAAATCTGCAGCAGTGCTGGTCACAGCTGGCCTCCTGTTAGAACATTCAAGGCTAGGGCTTCCCAGTTCTCGGTGTCTATGCCATAGTTTTTAAGGTTGGCATTAAGCCAGTCTTTAAATCTCTTTTCTGTCCACCAACATTGCATTTCCCATTCGTGAATTTGGAGTATAGTAACTGGTTTGGGAGACGGTGATTGCACATTCGGACAATGTGGCCAGTCCAGCAGAGTTGATGGCATAGGAGCATCACATCAGTGCTGGTGGTCTTAGCTTCTTCCAGCACGCTGACATTTGTCTGCCGGTTTTCCCAAGAGATTTGCAGGATTTTTCTGAAGCAACACTGATGGAATCATTTCAGGAGTTGAGTGTGACGCCTGTAGATAGTGCACATTTTGCAGGTGTACAGCAGGGTTTGGAGGACAATAATTTTATAAAGAAGCACCTTGGTGTCTCTACTGGTGCCCCAGTCCTCAAGCACTCTCTGTATTTGTTGTATTTATATCCCATTGTAATTTTATCCCATCAATCCCAGCTTCACTGCTTGGACAGGTCAGTAGCTCCCAACTTTGTTTTCTTCGAAATGGTCAAGGGTCTGGAGAACAAACCCTATGAGGAGCGGCTTAAAGATCTGGGCATGTTTAGGCTGTAGAAAAGAAGACTGAGAGGAGATATGATGAGGGTCATGTATCAAGATGTGAGGGAAAGTCATAGGGAGAAGGGCACAAACTTGTTTTCTGCTACTCTGGAGACTAGGACATAGAACAATGGCTTCAATTTACCAGAAAGGAGATTCCACCTGAACTTTAAGAAGAACTTCCTAACAGTGAGAGCTGTTCAGCAGTGGAACTCTCTGCCTGGAGGCTTCTTCTTTGGGGGGTTTTAAACAGAGGCTGGATGGCCATCTGTTGGGGATGCTTTGAATGTGATTTTCCTGCTTCTTGGCAGGGGGTTGGACTGGATAGCTCACAAGGTCTCTTCCAACTCAATTGTTCTATGATTCTATAATTCGACGAAAGGGTAAGCTGATAAAATGAGTCAGTTTCTTTTTGGCCTTCTGGGAAAAATAGTGAGCTATAAAATATCATGGCATATCCTGTGTCTATGTGCACATGTAGATTCCTTATGCATGGGACTGTATTTATGTGACCTTTACAGAATGTCCATGTCAAATTCACAGTTACAAAAGGGGTGTTCTGCAAGTGTGACTGTTAAAACATGTAGTTTCACTTTCATGTTTTGCAATTCCATCCTCTAATGAGTGATTGATCAAATATACAGTATTACTAAAAATTAGGAA